AATGTATGTTAACTTAATTTATGATATTTCAGCTGCTCAACTTCGAGATCAGCTCATCAAGATTCGGGAAGCAAGGTGAGTTCGATAATGAAAATAGCGTAGGGAATGATTGAAATTATGAATGTAGTCAGTAGTGTGGTCAGGGGTGCAACCCCTCTCCCAAATTCGATGTGCATAAAAGAAAGTATTTTGACCTAGCAGTGAACAAGAAAAGGCCGCGCAAAGACAACGATCAAGTTACTCGGAAAGTTCACAACACTTACCCAATACTGAAAAAGTTCAATTTCAGTTACTGAGTTTAGTGATTTATTCAATTAGCCTGAATACTCTAAGAAAACATGTAACGATGAAGAGCACGAGCTCTCCCCGTCTTTTGAAGTATTCCCCTATTATGTTTTTCTTTATCTATTCTTGTATATTTTGCTATTTTTGACATGTTTTAAAACTGAGAGTTGAGGTCATTGTTATTTCTCAATAGTATTAGTGGTTTTTCATGGATGATAAGATTCTGTGATCGCGTGAAGATTTTATGTTTATCCATAGACATTGGTTTTGTATTTAGTTTCGTAATTTTAAGACAAATTTTAGTTATTTTTCTTCAAATATAATGGTTTGATTTTTTAGGATTGAGAGACAAAAACAAAGGGAAGGACTGATGAAGAATGCTCGAGAACTAAAAGCCAAGGTGACAGCAAAGCGTGGTCCAGGTAGGTGGCTGTTTACATTCTCAGGTTTTTAAAGTCTCTTTTGTAACATTTTTCAAACTTTTTTTATGCCAGGTTTTGTCAGCCATATCGAAGATACTGTCCATAGTATCATGATCAGACTTTTACTAAATGGTATATGGAAAAAATAATGTAACATTTTTAACCATTTAACCATGAAACAATCAAAATGCTATAAACACTCATCACACCACATAACTGAAGCTTTAATTCTTTCACTAGCACAGTGTTGCTAGACACCACTTTAAATTACTTATTCGTTCTTTCAGAAGCTTTTACAGCCAGGTTTTCTTTCTTATCGTTTTTTTGACCATGTTTCAGTTTAAATGTGCTGAAACATTGCATAAGGCACTAGTAGATTTCAAGTCAAATTTTGTTGCCCAAAACGCAAATTTTTTAGTGTCATTTATGGACGCAATAATTCGTTTGCGATTTGCTGCAACCCAGCTTCAAGGCAACGCACGGTTATTATTATCAAACTCCTTGCATTGCAGTACCTGTTTTTGACGTAATAAATATTGTCATGGCAATGTTTAACTGAGTATGAACAGCGTTTTATAGTACTCATTCTTAAACGGTACATTTCATTGTATTATGAAATTTTTTGATCATTCAATCTTAAACAAAGTATTTGATTTTTTGCGAGTTGATGTTGACATTGTAAAACCATTACGTTAGAATCATGTGCATGAAACACCATTTGCCCAAGTGACTCTTTGGACTCATCAGAAAAGTAAATTCTGTTGACTAACAAGCAAATATAGTATTTCGACTGGCATGCGCAGCAATTCGATTGAACTGTCAACAAGAGCAAACTAAATATTTGCAAAAGAACAACAAGGTCTTGTTATGTGGATAGAAAATAAGTACAATGTGGCTTTTTGAAGACTTTAATGGGTTTCCGAATTACTTTCAGTAACTGTAAACACATGCCTATAGGTATCTTAACGTACTAAAAAGTAGCTGGCCGTTGGTTATCTCAAATTGACAATATGATATTTGAATAAACCGTAAATGCCTTATGATTCAAACTCTGAAGGTAAATCAGAATATTAAATATCAAAATATAGCAATTGGTCCTCAAGAGGGATAATTATCAAAGGAAATTTTCGAATTATGAGATTTTATTACCAGATGTCGGCTTCTTAGCTATTCATCATTCTTTCCGGGCCAATTTTGTTCTTGTATCAAGACTCGTGGCAGGAGAATACACGTGTTTGTCAGTTGGATCGTTATTTGATATTGTTTCTATAAGTTTCTGGCTTTTCAACATTGCATCCTGTTTTTTTGTCTATGAAAGCAGTGCCTCACAAGTGACTAAACAATCATTATGTGTATAACAGAGACCTATGTTGGGTTATTGAATGATGTTAAATTTTTTACCTATTTGGTTTATAGAAATGAGCATCTGGGAATCAAAATATCGAGCAGAAAAGCAGCGAGCTGCCATCCTTGAGGAAGAGCTTGGTAATTTGAAGTCAGAACTGGCTGCAAGCCAAAAGAAGCTATTGAAGAGTTTGGAGCAGAAAGGTAATAAATTTGATTAGTTTCTTCAGGGGTTATGTTGACCAGGAGCTGGGATATCTGGTAGATATATTCATTCACAGTGTCAATGGCTTTTATTGTTGAATATTATCGATTAAAAATTACTGACATTTTTGCCAACTTCTTGTAATATGTTAAAATGCAAAACACCAAGTACCTGCTGGTGATCTGACTGCCTTTTATCCCTAGAAATCTTTTGACCCACTGTCAACCAACAAAGAAGCCTCTATAATTGACAGGGTCTTCTCTTGTTTATTAACATCACGCCTGCTCAATTTCACGAATTTCTGTGTCAGAAAATAGAATATGCGCAGTTATATACACCAGGAAGGTAAACATAATGAACAAGCGAAGCAGCTGATGTCAGTAAGAGAGCTGTTTTGTAGAATGCATGCTAACAAATAGAAAGTTGCCAACTCAGCCACATCAGATTCTACTGAGAGAAACAAAATATTTCCATTAGCAAAGTTTGAAAACAATTTGCATGATGAAGCTATGGGGATATGTGAAACTGCTTTTTGTTATCGGACATCCCATAAAATCGTGTCCCTTGATAGAGCTTAATGCCTATGCAAATTGCACGGAATTTGAAATTAATTTGAGAATGCCAGCACTTCAAAAATAACACAACTGCGCATTCTTTGTTTTCTGACACTTTGTGAAATTGAGCAGGCACAATGTTGATAAACAAGAGAAGTGCACAAGAGACCCTGTAAATCAAAGAGGCTTCTTGTTGGTTGACAGTGGATTTTTAAATAAAAGCAGTGCTTTGAAGAGAACAAATATTTCCAAAGAACTGTAATTTGCTTGATAGGTGGTCAACATTTGCTTGATGCATGATAGATAAAGGAAATTGGTCTCCAAGAGTAGCGTATCAACTAAATTTTGAGCCAAACCTTTTTCAGCTAAATATTATTTCAATGATAGATTCAGATGAACCAAGTGAGCAGAAGTCTCCGCGAACGATTGTCGGGCCATCACAGTTGGTGAGTTCACTAATTCAAGACTTTAGTTGTTTGATGCTAAATAAAACCTTTATTTTGCTGTTGACAAATGTTTGTGGTGCACAATTTCATTGTTTCTAAGAAATTGGCACTCTTCTTTTCTAAGCCCGTCATTGTATTTTCTTTTTAGAATAATTTAAAGAATGAAGTACGCAGATTAAACAAAGAAAAGGACCGTGTTGAGGAAGATATCCAGAAGACAAAACGAAAACTTCTAGTAGAGTCACAGGTTTGTTACATGTATTTGTTTGAGCCGAGCTCTTAGGAGCATTTCAAACCATGATACTAAGTTGTTTGTCACAAACCATGAGACATTTTGTGTTAATGATTTCAATTCATAAAGAAAGCAGTGAATTAGAACTCAGCAAATGTGGGGATACTTTGTCTTAAATCATTAAAAAATTTCTTTTCAGCAAAAAGCAACTGCCCACCAACAACTGAAAGAGATGCGAAGAGATAAAAAGGCTTCAAGTGTGAAAGCGGAAGCAGTTTCAACACCTAGAACTAAGTTAAGTAATGCAGAACAGTAAAAAACTTGCCAATTTTAATTAAATACAGTAATACATTTCACGACAAGGGGTACATTAATCCACAATCAGGATGTGAAACTGGCTAACTTTAAAACCATATATGGTATATATACAAACAGAACAAGCATCCACTCCATAAATTTGGGAACATATGACAGCTCACAAATGTTTGTCCTAACAGTTTACTTTTAGATACTCACAAGCAAAACATATAACGAAACAGATGAAATCAAGTTGCTTCAAAAAGTTGTCGAAACTGTCGAAAGAAAATCGTTTGTTATAGATTTGAAAGAGTCTATCATGAAAGGTCAAATTTCAGTTTGATGTTAAAAGTTAAAAATTCATTTCTGGGGCTGCTTTATATGTCACTACAAAGCAGCCGAGGATATACACAATTAAAGGCACTTTGTCACTATCCCCCTCAAGCGACTCAGAGCCCCTGAACAGTTGACTGACAGAGCATAGCGCTTTTAACTGTGCAAAACATCAATTTATGTCTTACCAACTCTTTTAGTTTTCTTGTTCAACTTGACCTAAGTAACACACAAAATTAGATGGGTCAGCTTATTAGGTACCTATATGCAGCTTCTTTGACACGCTTACAAATTTGGTGTTGAGTATACTTGGCAAAAGATGGCAGAACTGTCTTCAAATTAAGATCATACTTGCTTTTTCTGAATCAATCCAGTACAATTGCATTTTAACAGACTTTTGTGCTAATTAAAAGCCACGATTTAGCCAAACCGTGACAGCTGGCCACATATAAGCGTAGCAGTGCTGCATCTAGTATTTACACAGTACCAATTTTGTTGTGCACATTAAGCGAGATTAAGTGCATTACGCGGAGCATTATCCATATTTGCATAAATTGCTCATTGTTGAATTTTATCATTTAAATTTGAAAGATATATTTTTCAAAAAGACACTAACCAATTTTGAATTATATTTGTAAGTAAAAGAATTTGTATATAGCAAAATAACACTTCTTTTAACTCATCAGGTGTTGTATCATAACTGCACTGTATTTTTTCTTTTGAGTTATGAATTCACAGTTATCAATATCAGTATCAATATCAATATTAGTTGTTAGCCGTTGTTAGGCAGTTGTAGGACGTGTTTTTCATCGCTCAGCAAGTTCTTCTAAGATCAACGATACTTACCAAAGAGATCTATCGAGATGAGTTGTAGTGATGAACTAATCACACATGCAATCAATTATATCAGAGAAAAATTAAAGAAGAGACCAGACAAATTCGCCATCACAAGTTTTGTGAACTCTAGGCATGGCCTAAATCACACCGACGTGGCTGACACTGTAGATCAACTCGAAGCCAAGGGAGTTATTTTCCGAAAGGTCAAGAAGAAGAGGCACTCATTCTTCATATCTGACTTGGATGAGGATGAAAACTCTTCTATAATGGAGAACGAGACTGAAGACAGTAATGTCGAAAGGAAAGAAGAGGAGAAACAGCGGCAAAGTGTTTTTGCACCCCGCCATGACAGCCCTCCCTCGACCATCATGGACTTCATTCGTGCCGAGCTTGAACAAAGGGAGCTACGTCTCGCAAACAAGATCATGGCCAATCTGGAAGGAAAATATCTGGAAAAGGCAAATAATGAGAAAGTGCTTATTGAAAGGTTAGAAAGGGAGGTGGATTTTCTCAAATCAGAAATTCAAAATAAGAACAATCTACTTTCAAGTTTGCTCACAAACATGGAAAATGGCAGGACTAACAATCGAAACGAAGACAAAGGTAGCGAATGCAAGAATAATGCAGGACCTTACACAGACAAAGGCAATGAATGGAGACAAATCATCCCCAAGAGAGCTGGAATCAGAAGAACAAGCAAGGAAAAGAGGCCATCTAGTGAATGCGACTGGCATGCAAGTTATGAGGATTTTCCACCGCTATCGAACAAATTTGACCTGCTGTCATCGTTGGAACTGAATGATACTGCTTCAGATCATTTTTGTACAGTAAAGTCTCCAATAAAGTCACAAGAATCTAATAAAGTTACGGCAAGGAACAAAAGAGTTATTCGCAAAGATTTGGAAAGAATGCCATCAAGGCAAAAGGATCTCCATCGTGTTATTGATCAAGACCAACAGCCAAAACGAACCCAGGATTGTATTACTATCATCGGCGATTCCATGGTAAAAAATATTCAAGGATTCAAAATGAAGCAAGCAATCAAGAATGACCGAAATGTTTATGTTAAGTCATTCTCAGGAGCAACAGTGGATTGTATGAACAGTTACGTTTGCCCAACGATAAAAAAAATCCGAAGACAATCATTCTTCACTGTGGTACGAACGATTTGAGAAGATCCCAACCTGCCTGCAACATCGCTAGAGATATCTTCGAACTAGCTAGAACATTGGAAACCAGGAGTAACTCGGTCCTGATTTCAGGGTTGGTACCCCGGGGCGACTCGTTAAATGGAAAGGCCACTGAGGTAAACAAGTTGCTGAAGCAAATATGTATAAGCAAGAACTTGAAATTCATTGACAATTCGAATATAGATCCAAGCATACACCTTAACCGTAGCAGGCTACATCTAAATGACCGTGGAAACACGCTTTTAGCTAACAATTTTATTTATAATCTAGGATACTGACTAGAAATCGAGGGGGTAAAACCATACAAAGAGCTTCCCATCGGCATAGAACCTGGGAAGCCTGATCTATCCAGCGCCAGTATTTGTAACGCCCCAGCAGTTACTGCTGGAACTACTGCGCATGACCTACATGACACCACCGACGACAGTGATGCAAAATCAGCATTACATAATCTGCGTTTAAAGAACATAGGTCGTATGACTATCGGGTATCTAAATATAAATTCCATTAGAAATAAATTTGATGCACTAAAAGCGATAGTTTCACAGAATCTTGACATTCTAATGGTCGCCGAAACAAAAATTGATGATTCATTCCCAAAGGGACAATTCTATATTGAAGGTTATGCTGATCCACTACGGCTTGACAGAAATTGTGAGGGTGGCGGTCTGTTGGTCTATGTGAAAAGTGACATCACAATGAAGCAGTTAAAGTCATTTAAATTTGATCTTGACATTGAATGTATTTGTTTTGAAATCAATTTAAGGGGGAATAAGTGGGCTCTTTTCAGTGTTTACAGACCACCGTCCCAATCACAAGAACACTTTTTCGAAAATCTTGGCAAAGCAGTTGATCATTACAGTGAAAAATATGACAAATTTTTATTACTTGGGGATTTTAATACAGTAGAGACAGGTCAACAGATTCGTACTTTTATGAATAGTTATGACCTCAGAAATCTGGTGAAGGAGCCAACCTGTTTCAAGGCTGACAATCCACGGTGTATTGACCTAATCTTAACCAACAGATATAGGAGCTTCCAACATACCACCACTACCGAGACAGGTCTCTCTGACTTTCACAAAATGATAGTCACAGTTTTGAAAACGACGTACCAAAAGGCTGGACCTACTGTTATTAACTATAGAGAATATAAGAAATTTTCGGAGCAGACTTTCAAACGAGAACTTAAGGAAGAGTTGGCTAGCATTAAAACAACTGATTTAGACTACAGTTCTTTTCAAAATTGCTTTGAGAAGGTACTTGATAAGCATGCACCGATGAAGAAAAAATACGCAAGGGCCAATGATGGTCCCTTCATGAATCGAGTTCTTCGTAAAGCTACTATGCTGCGCTCTAGGTTGAAAAATAGATATAATAAAAGCCGCACAGCTGAACATTGGGAAGCGTTTCGTCGACAGCGTAATTTGTGTGTCAAATTATTTAGAACGGAAAAAAGAAATTTCTATAAAAATTTGAATACTTCTGATATTACAGACAACAAGAAATTTTGGAAAACTGTAAAACCTGTCCTTTCCGATAAAAGTCGATCTAACTCAAATATTACCCTTATCGATAATAACAGGATGATTTCCAATGATAAGGAAGTTGCAGAAGCCATGAACAATTATTTTATATCGATTACTGACTCATTAGGTCTGACAGGGAACAGGGAGGTTACCATAAGTACAAATGGTTTATCAGATCCTATAGAAAAGGCTATAATGAAATATTCAAAACACCCTAGCATTAGGAAAATTCGCAGTTTTGCTCGAATTAACGGCTACTTTAAATTCCAAGAGGTTTCTGTGGAACAGATGCACTCTGAAATTGAGGGGCTTAATCCTAAAAAGGCAACAACCTTTGGAAATATACCCGCGAGAGTGCTGAAAAATAGCTCTGACATTTGTTCCGAATCGTTGCAGCTTATTTTCAATAACTGCATTCAAAATGGTGTCTTTCCCGACCTATTAAAACTAGCAGATGTCACTTCCCTCCACAAATCGGAGGAGAAAACCAATAAGAAAAATTACAGACCGGTTAGTGTATTACCAACTGTTTCAAAGGTTTTTGAGAGACTTATGGATAAACAGATTATTGATTATATGCAATCTTATTTATCGTCACTTTTATGTGGTTTTCGTAAAGGGTACAATGTGCAGCACGCATTAGTTCGAATGCTTGAAAAATGGAAAGCAAGCTTAGACAGGGGAGAAAATGTTGGCGCAATCCTTATGGATCTCTCGAAAGCCTTTGATTGTATTAAACATGACCTCCTTATAGCAAAACTAGATGCTTACGGATTCAGCCATGAAGCACTGTGTCTTGTTAACAGCTACTTGGAAAATAGGCATCAGAGAGTTAAGATTAATGGATCATTCAGTACCTACAAACAATTGTTCCTTGGTGTTCCGCAAGGATCAGTTCTTGGTCCCCTCTTCTTCAACATCTACATAAATGACTTACTTCTCTCCTTAATGGATACGGATATCTGCAATTACGCGGATGATACAACTCTATATGCGTGCGATAAAAATCTCAATAATGTAATTGCAAGGCTAGAGAATGACTCAAGTATAACTATCCAATGGTTCGCTGATAACTTTATGAAGTTGAATACAAAAAATGTCATTTACTTATTCTTGGCAAAAGTTCTAATCAACAGGTTAAAGTTAATGTAGGAGATTCTATCATAGAAAACTCGGAAGAGGAAAAGCTACTAGGTGTTGTGATAGACAAAAAACTCAGTTTTGAGACACATATCAGTAAGTTATGTAAGAAGGCTGGTAGCAAACTCACCGCCCTCGCTCGCATATCTGGATACATGGACGCTAATAAACTTAAAATCTTAATGAGAGCATTTGTAATTAGCCAATTCGAATATTGTCCACTAGTCTGGATGTTCCACAGTAGGCACTTGAATAGTAAGATTAATAGAATACACGAAAGAGCTCT